AGACGAGGCACAGTTCACTTGCAGGGCCTTGCAGGTCGCTACTCAGCGCCGCCCCCCCTCGGAGGTCGCTACTCGGGAACCCCCCCGCCAGCAGTAGAGGCGCGGGCAGATTCCCACAGCTTCTCCCCCCGTCACATCACTCGGAGGGGTCCAGTCACGCCTGCATTGACCCCCGCGACCCCGGATGTTGCCTCCACCCGTTCACTCCACTCACTGCGCCCCTCCACGGGCCTGGCACCCGCCGGCCTGCGTCCCCCGCCGCCGATTCACCTCGTGGGTCCGCAGATCACAATTCCCGCCGCCGGGCCCGAATGCCCCGCGCAAGCGGCGGCCTCCGATGCCCCTTTTCAGCGGTCAATTCCCATGGAATGCGCCTCCCACCATCAGGCTTGGCGCGCGGATTCACAAGCCAACACCCCCCGCCATCGGGCTAGGTGCGAGAAGCAGCAAAATATGCCCCCCTCCTTAGGGCCAGGCACTCGGTCCGGTTTGGAATCCCTGGCCAATTCAGGCGGCGCCACGGGGCGCCCACCTGGCCGGCCCATCTCCTTGGATCTCTCGCGAAGGGGGGCCCTCCCGCCGTCGGGCCGGGTCCCCTCGGCTCTCATGTGCCGCATGGCACGCTTCCGTCCTCCACGTCCGCCGGCTCCGAAACCACTGGCGTGGTTTTCGGTTTGATGTGCGGGCGATGTGCCCGCCGCGGCGCCCAATGCGGCCGGAATGGCCTCCTCCGCCGGATGACCGGCGGGCGGTCCAGGGCGCTCGCTCCTTCCGGGTGCGCAGTGTGGGCCCAAGCCTGCGATCGGCTGGGCGCGGGGCAGCAGTGCGCGCAGTGGGTGTGCGACGCCGGTGCGGTCTGCGGGTGCAGCCGTGCGGAGGCAAGTGGTCAGCAAGAGTTATAACCGTAGGGCATTGGGGCCACCCTTTGGCGTGCCCTGCATCACATGACAATGCAGCCAACGTCACCGTATCTATAGTATTTCGTCCCCCAGTACGGTTGTGGAGGCGTCCCTAAGTACTCTAACTTCTAGTAACTATATCTCCATTACCGCTAACCCAAATGGAGTGATTCAAGAACCTATAGGTTCCTAGTAAGTTCTACTAAAAGATGAGATTGTTTATTAATATTTATTATACTTCCCAGATACCCATAACCAAGGAAACACGCTACCCCCTGTGCTTCACACCACAACGATTGGATGGTGTCCTTCGACATACAGGATGCCTACCACCACATACCGATCCATCCCCAGGATTGGCAGTACTTCACCTTTTAAATCGATGGGGAATTGTGGGAATGCGTGACTTTACTATTCAATTGGCAAGGAGCCCCGATGGTGTTTACGAAGGTGATGCGGACGATCATTGCCTTTCTTCGCTCTCCCCGCCAAGTGGCTCCCAAATTACCCCCTTCTTGGGCCAAGTCTGCAATTTCGACATATTGGTGATCCCTACTGCTGCCCTACTTGGACGACATTCTGGGAGCCACAAGTGATCAAGCGTGACTGCACAGCTGGACCAGTATGACACGCACAATTTTGAATGGCTTGGGGATAGTAGTGAATGAGGCAAAGTCTTCCTGGACCCCCATGCAGACCAAAGTGCACTTGGGTTTGATCGTCGATATGGCCAGGGGCCTATTTATAGTCCCCTTAGACAAGGTTGCTCGACTTCACAGCCAAGCAATGGCTTTGACGACCGCTGCGAATCACAACAAGGGCCAAGTGTAAGTGAGGAAAATTGCCTCATTTTGCGGCCTGGCCCAATCGGTCGACCTGGCAATCCGGCCGGCACGATTCTTCCTCCAAGCGCTTTACGCGTGTTTGAAAACCAAGTGCACCTAGCGCAGTTGGGTGAGGCTTGACACCCAAGCACTGCAAGATCTCTACTGGTGGTACCTACTCTGTGATCGCTAGAACGGGAGGGCGATCTGGAGACCGCCGGGTGCACTTCAATTGGCCACAGACTCAAGCGATTCGCTTGAGGGGCCGAATTGCGATGGGAACCCTCCACACCTCTCTCCTCAAAGCCCCAGGTGCTCCTTGCATACGGTTTTAGGCCTGCAACGACCCAACACAAGCACATCAATCAGGAGCTGATGGCAGTTCACAAATCACTCGAATCTCTCATGCACAAGATCAGTGGGCAACACGTGAGCCTCCTTGTGGACTTAGCGGTCACAACCTAGGTTATTCGCAAATTGACGACGACTTCGGGCCCCCTGATGAAGAAGCTCCGTCGCCTCCATTGGCTCCTTGAGTGCTGGGATATAGTCCTTTGGCTGACCTAGATCCCCAACGCGAACAACACAGTACCAGACGCCCTCTTGCACACCCACAACCCCACGGATTGGTGCCTCCACCCCCGACTTTTCGGAATCTTGGACCATAGGTGGGGCCCCCATATAGTGGACCGCTTCACAATGCTCGAGAATCGGCAGGTGAAGCATTTCAATTCTGCCTTGTGGTCACCGAACACAGAGGGCATCGACGCACTGGCCCCACCCCTTGTGCTCTGGAGCGCGGAGAACAATTGGGCGAACCCGCCCTAGACGCTTCTTCCTCGCCTCACCAATTTCCTCGGCAAACGCCCTGCAATTCAATACACTGTGGTGGCCCCTTACTGGCTGAGCGCACAGTGGTTCCCCCGGTTGCACTGCATGGCGACAGACATTGTGATCTTCCCCCCAGCGCCAGACACCTTTCTACCAGGTCGCCTGGGCAGCCAGACCCCAGTGGGGGCCCCCAATTCGGCTGGCCGGAGCTAATGGCCTCGCAGACAAATTCAGTCGTCAAAGCTCAGCAAGATTCTCTCTGGCCATCCTCGCAATCAGGAGTGGCCCGCACGTTCACTAAAGTTGCCGCTTTCTGCACCCACTGCGGCTGGACGGCCGTCCCCACCTCACGCGCAGTGGTCTGTGCTTATCTCGTCTATCTGGAGGCGGAGGGCTCCATCCGCCCTACCTCTGCCCCCCAATACCTTGCTGCCATCGGCACTATTCATCGTAAGCGAGGCTTCGATTTCTGTGCCTCCGATTGGCTCACCAAGGCCTTGATCCGCGCCTAGAAAAACCGAGCCCCCGACACCCAGTACACCATGCAAATCCGGGCTTTTCCAGTAGATGCAATTGAGGAGCTACTCAGCTACGCCGGCACCCCCCAGCCCCCACTCAAGATCCGAGCGATCCTGGTCCTAATCCTCGACTTCATCTTCTTCTCACGCGCAGACTCCGCCTACTTTGCGCATGACTGCAACTTCTTTGTGTTGGACACCTCGCTGGAATTCGTGGAGCGCTGAAGGAAAGGCCAGCAAGTGTCTTACCTCGAACTTTGCTGCCGCCAATTTGATGCAAGGGGCTGCCTATCCCTGCTGCGTCTGGTTTCCGATTGGCGCCGCACATGGGATGCGGCCTGGGCGGCGGCAGGACACCCTCGCCGGTCCCAGGAGTCTTCTTTTTGGGCGCTGCCCGTAGACGGCCACGCCCCCACTTCAACGTTGGTGGAGCACTGGTACTGGCAGGCTGCATCTATCATTCGTGGCATCGATGTGGCGGACTTGACTCATCACTCCTTACGGAAAGGTGGCACCACATCAGCTTTCTCTCTGGGCGTCGGCATTTGGCACATCGCTGATTGGGGTGGATGGAGTCTGAAGTCCGACGCCATTCAGCGCTACATCGCCATGGCGCATCTTTTTTGTTGTCTGAGCAATAGGGACATGCAGACCGAAAAGGCAAAACTGACATGCCCGAGTTCCGGATTTCTCTCTTTGTACATTAGGGTATTTGTACCAATGGGATTTGATTGGGACTTCCGGTGTGAGCGGGGCTGATTGCCCCAAAAGGGTGGGAGCAGCCGGCCGTTTCATGTAAACTTGGAGGTCCAGTACGTGCTAGATCTTCAAGCCAGCGCATTTTCCACCATTCCGCATTTTTCGCAATTCCGCATTTTCCACAATTCCCCATTTCCTGCAGGGTGATTATTTCTTTTTGCGACAGTGGACTATTCTTTTTTGCGACAGTGCCAAACTACTCTTTTTTGCGACAGTGGATTGTTCTTTTTTGCAACAGTGAGTATGACTAATGCACAGCTTGGGAAGGCGGCGGGCCTTCGAACCAGCTCGCCTACCCGCCCCCAGCACCCCTCCACCGTCACTTGCCACCGGCCGCTAGTAGCCGCCGTCGCTGTTGTTCGCCGCCCGAGGGACCGTTTTCCGCTCCCTCGAACTTCACGAGTCAACGCTGTGCTTGTTTGGGGTCTGGGTGACGCACAGGGCCGGGCGGCGCCAAATGAGCACTAGGGTTGCGCCAATCGCTGCAATGGCTCCAGTGGCAGCCCGCCACAGGTCGTGGCTCACAGGGCGTGCCCCCACCCGGCAGCGAAACCTGGTCGTGTGACCAGTCAACGGCGCTGGGCGTGGGCGTCTTGATGGTCGATGCTTGGACGGCAATGGCGCTGGCAGCCAGCGCCTTGGCCTCCCCGTCCGGCGTCACGAGCAACACTACCCGGTCCCAGTTCGCGGCGCCGTCTCCCCGCGCGGCCAAGTGGCCGCATTTCAGGGGGCTAGCACGGCAAAAACAGATCTGGGGAGGAAACGGGGGGCTGCAACCTCAGCCGATTCGGCTGAATCTCAGCGCCAAACTGATCGCCGAGTGGTAGCGGTAGTCCCCTTCCGCAAGGTGGGGACCCTGGGCGTCCCCAAATGTTCCCGTTTCGCCTTTTAGTCCTTTCTCCGAACAGACGCGCCTTCAGCACCGTTGTGAGAGGAGGCCCGGTGGACCGTGCAGGGGTGGTGTGGCAAATCTGATGCCAACATCTCGTGCATCAATTATCGCCACTGTCGCAAAAAGGAGTAGTTTGGCACTGTCGCAGAAAAGAACAATCCACTGTCGCAAAAAAAAATAGTAACCTTCCTGCAGTCCCCGAATTTCCACAATTCCCCAAACCCGAAAATTCGTTCCCGCAGCTGTCGGTGCCGCAGTGCGCCGCGCCGCGTCCGCCATGAGCGACGACGACGATGCCCCCGAGGCGCTGCTCAGCGACGAGCCCTCCGCGGGCAGCGGCGACGAGGGCCTGGAAGGCCCCGAGGGCGATGGCATGGACCTGGACGAGAGGGGGGGGGCGGGGGGCCGCTACGTCGACTCTAGCGACGAGGAGGACGGGGAGGACGTCGAGGAGTACGAAGACGACGGGTTCGTCGTCGCCAGCGAGGAGGAGGAGGAGGAGGAAGACGAGGAGGACGAGGATGAGGGCGGCAGGGAGCGCCACAGAGGGAGACGCCGCAAGAAGCGGCGGCGCAGCGACGCCGCGTTCCACCTGGATGATGAGGACTACAAGCTGCTGGAGGAGGGCGGCGTCACGGTGGGGGTTGGTCGGGATTCTCTTTTGTGGAGGGGATGCGGAATGATGGGTAGCGGGGGGGGAGGGGCCTGTGGGCATCGGGGCTGATTTTGGGCGGTTGTGGGTGCATGCGCAGGGGGTGAGGCGACCGCAGAAGGGGGGCCGCAAGCGGCTGAAGAAGCTGGGGGACGTGGACCACGTGGACCACCCACGCGACGCCACGCAGCTGAGGGAGGAGCTGTTCGGCGACGGGGAAGGTGGGGAGGCGCATGGGCGGCATGTCGGGGAAGCGCTTCTGCAATGGCATGACCTGGGGCACAATGTTGCAACCTTGAACTGAGTGCAATCATGCCAGGGAACAGCGAGGCTATATTGGGCAGGACCTGGGGCAGTGGTGATACTGGATGTTGGAGGGGCGAGACCGCTGGATGAATCCATTGCAGCGCAGAGCACACGACGGACGTGTCCCGAAGAGAAGGGTGCTTGTGTTTGAAACATGCAGTTGCAATTTAGGCGCACTGCAGTGGCCCAGGGGACTGGGGCTGTTGGCTTGCACACAAGTGGGGCCCCACAACGCACTGTACAGGACAAGGAGCTGAGTGCACGATGTGCTGTGCGGATCAGGCTTGGAGGACGAGCTTGATGATCAGGGTGAAGAGGAGGATATGGGCCCACAGGGCAGCATACAGGAGATGGATGAAATGGTTGATGAAGATGGGCTGGACGGCTTCATTGTTCATGACGAGCAAGGTCAAGGAGAAGGGTCCAGAAGGGGAAGGACATCCACAAAGGAGTATCTAGGCGAATCAAACGAGGCCTTGAGGGTGAGGCACCAAGGCCAATGATAATCGACTGGTTTCGTGCAGTTGTGCACAGCTGCAGAGGCAGACCTGTGAAAAAGAAAAAGGAAATGGCCACAAGCATCTTACAAGAATGAAGCTGTTGCGACTGCATTGTTCACAATAGCCATGACCATCAATACCCTCCCAGCAGGCGATGATAGTACCTTGTATTGATTGTTGTAAGCTCGGGGTTGATTACTGGACCTTGCGAAGGAACATCAGCTACTGGAAGAGAGACGATGCCGTTGCGCTTTTGGCTGCAAACCCAGTTCCGCCACTGCGCATGTGGCTTGTGATGGGTGGCTGAGGCTGAGCAATGCATGCGCCATAGATTTGGCCTGTCAAGGAACGGAATGTTGGTGGTGCACATTGTGTTGTTCATGTTGACTGAGGTTGCTGTGTCTGTTGGGTTGACCAACTGCTATTGCGAAATGCAGTCTGTTGGGAAGCAGTTTTTTCTTTTTGTCATGTTTAGCAAATGATTTATTGTGGGCCAGCTTTGGAATTGTCCAATTGGTTGTTTCCGATTTGCTGATATGTGTGTGTGCTTTGTATCTGTTCCCAGGACATCTTTGGGGACACAGAAGACCTGTTGGCTCTGTATGAGGAGCAGCGATCGAAGAGGAAGGCTGACGAAATGCAGCATGATGTAGAGGTACACCATGCACTGTCGCAATCGAATTGACCTTTCAGCTTGGCTTATAGCTGACCAGTGGCCATCAATGGATTACAGCAGGCATTAAGCCACTGAGGTGATGCTGATGATTGTCTTGTGATTGAGAATACCTTGATGCATCAGATTTGAATACCCCAATACCTGTTCAAGGTGTATGTTTGGGCTCCTGCAGTGACATAACTTGTGCGGTCTCTCAGGAGGCGAAACTCTTTGCAATAGCATGTTGAGCATTATGTAAAATTGTGACCGATGTTTTCAACGCAAGTGGCTGTCAAGGGTCTGTTCTGAGATACGAGGGCTGGACTCCTGAGGGTAGCATGTGCTGTATGCTGAAAGCTGACCTTGCAATGTTGTAGAGCTGTGCAGCAATTGCAGGAACTGCTGGTGGATGCATGATCTTTAGAATTTATGCAGAGCTCCCACACAACCCTGCATGCATTCAACGTCTACACAAACATACGGCTGCTTCCATTGTCTGGCCAGCTATTTGACTGTTGATTTCAGAGCAACATTATGCCCAGGGGAGTAGTACCACCACACCAGCCAAACCTGCAGCTGGGCGTTCTCTCCATCCATGTGATTTCAATTGCCAAGATCTGACCAATATATTTTCGTTTAATACAGTGGAATAAAAAAAGAGAAAAAAAGAGAAAAAAGAGAAAAAAGCTGATGGCAGCCACTTGGTCCTTGGCTTGAGTTGGTGTTTTTGTTTTTTGGGGGTCAGCATTGTCTGCCTGCAGTTGGCATCTTGGGCTGCTTATGTGGCAGGCTCAAACAGATAGTGATGTTTGGCTGTGCAGTAATGTGCATGTTGGAAAGTGTGTGAAAGCACTCATGATATGCTGTGTGCGTGCGAGCAACAGACTACGGGCCAAGCCAGCATCTATTCTCAGTATGACCCAGAAATGATGGCACGGCATGGTCTGCTGCCCGAAGATGAGGAAATCCGCAGGACGGATATTCCTGAGCGGTATCAGCAGCGCATGGTGGTGGGGACAGAGGTGAGATGGTCTCTGCACATATGGAGACTGCACTGGCTGCATGTCTTGGTGACAACATGTGTGTTGGAATAAATGCAGCTTGCAAGGACAGGAAAGACTGTGGTTCTGACTCATGATGCGGTGCTGTGTTTCCATTATTTGCAGTCCATGAATTATGACGCTGCTGCAGAATGGATTTATGAATGGCTCTTTGGCCTTGAGGCTCATGTGCGGCTTGAGCGAGATCTGGTGGAGAATGGCCGACTGGAAGTGGACGGTCCACTTGCCAAGGGGATCGAAGAATATGAGGGTAAAGAATTTAATGAGGTCGTCAGGGGTCACAGGTGGGCTGCCTGTCTGGTTGCACACTTGGTGCTGAACAGGTCTAGAAGTGCAGGCCTGCTGTCTGGACTTCTTGCAGTTCTGCCTTTTATGTGCTTGGTAAGAGCGAAGTGACTGTTGATTTGTGAGTTTGGTATTGGTGCGCTGTGTAAGTCAGAGAATATCTTGCGTTGTTATTGCTCAGAGCAGCGGTGCGTTTGAGGGCAAGTGTTCCTGCAGCTGCTGCAGTTGGTGGCTGTGTATTGTTCAGTGGGTCAAGGCAACAAAAACAAGCTGGCAACAAACAATTGTGGCTGTAAGCAGTGACTTGTCTTTTCAGTAAAAGTCATTGGTGGGAAATTGCTCAGTGGTTCTTGAGGAGAAGCTGACTGCCATGCACCAGTTGGCACTAGTCCTGGGTCTGGTATTTGTAAATGTCAGCTGTACCAGCAGGTGCTCGCAACAGTTGGCTGTGTAAGTCATTGTGTGCCCCACGCACACCCTCTGGCACATAAAGAGTTTCAAGTGTTTTCATTGGTGTCCATGAACTCCCACCTGTGGATTTGGGAACAGCAAGCATGACATCCACGGAGCTAGTGTTATGGTTCTGGAGGCATTTGTTGGGAAATTAGTGCAGCTTAGAGTGGCGGCTTGCTTCAGAGTCTCCTCGTAAAACGTTGAATTGCCAATAGTGGCGCAAGACAGAACAAGTGCCTTGGACCTGTTGGGTGATTGACATACCTGTCCAGAGTGTGTTTGTTCCTTGTTTGTTCACCGCCCACTTTTGGCAGAGGCATCCCTCATGTTTGTGGGCCTGCTGCCCCCTGAAATGTCCTGTTTACACGATATATACGTATTGTCTTGTGCAACCAGAGTCGTTCAACTTGCACGCGACAAGAATATGAGGCAGGAGTGGCGTGAGGATAAGGACAGACAGGACGTGCTGAAGAAATCGATCAAGGACGTTCTGGAGCATATGTACAAGAAGCATGAGGAGGTGCCATACATCGGTACATACTGCAAAGAATTTTGTGGAGAGCTGATGGCTTTAAGGGCCGATGATGTTCCTTCACACACCACACAGGATGAGTTCATGTGAGTATCCCTCTGGCCAATTTTTTCTTCCTGGTTGAGGCAACAGGGTACATTTTTACCCACACTTTTGGAGGTGTTTGGATGCAGTGAGAACTGCACAATTGAGAATGTGCTGTTGGCAGCTGGACTGAGGTAGTGAGCGCAGTGCTGTCTGTGTGCTTTTGACTGGCAGGTAGTTGTGCAAAGTGGTTGTGGTGGGGATGAGGAGGGAACTTGTGCTTGTGGTGTGCCAATTCTGGATGGCTTCCAACAATGTTGCCAGTGCGGCATTGTCTCTTGTGGCCATGACATTCTTCTGGACAGACTGTAGTGTGCAGGTGCTGTGTGGTGTAGGCGAGCCAAGGCTGAAGGCAAAATGTTCTTCCCGCCTGGAAGCATCCAGGCTAAGCACATGACGATGCGACGGTGGGAGCCACTTTGGGCAGTCTATGAGTGGTGAGTGCTGTTAGTCACATATGGTGCTGTCACCACCCAGAACGCCCTGGAAGGCGGCGTGCCTTTATCTTTGTCGCTTCATCCACAAGTCAGACATTATAGATGCATGGTGTGAATGTCTGCAATGCGATGCTCATCGCAATTCCGTCTGTTGTGACATTGAAGGAGCTTGAAGTGGCGGCGTTTGGAGGGCCGCAAAGAGAAACGCATTGAAGTGTATGAACGGGCACATGGAGCTGCTCCTTCAGCCGCAAGCGATGCTATTCGATGGTGCATCGATGCTCTATCAATGGCTCAGACCATGGAGGTAAGACTCAGTGCATATCCAGATCCCTGCAGTTCACGTTCCTGGTAGGATCGTGAATCAACATAGCAGGACTATCTCTGCCATTGAGATGGTGAAGCCAAACTAGACTAACTCTTTGTCACTCAGCACAAATCAAGCCCTCTAGCTTGCATTCTCAAGGCAGCTATGGTGCCTGATGTATTAATTGCTTCCACTCATTTGTCAAGTGTGGATCAGCTGAGCGCTTTCTACACATATGTGCCTATGCTTGTGGATGCCGATGTGTGTCAGTAGAGGTCGTACAATCACTGACATGCCAGTGTTTTAAGCCTGCAGGCACAACAGTGTACATCCCTCCTTTTCATCTCTGAAATTCTGTTCATTATTGCTGACCCAAAATGCTTATTGTGGGGACTGTGTGCATTCAGGCCATTGATGACATAGACGAGAAGTTTGAGCTGATCGTTGGGACGGATGCCAACCTCCATGCAGAATTTGGTCGCACAGGGCATGGCAAAACTGGAGGAGTCCGACGAAAGCCTCCCAAACTCCAGAAATACTGCCTGTACTCTAAGGCAGGGCTGTTACTATTGGTGAACGAACTGGTGAGAGAGAGACTGCTTGGCAGCGCTGACCACAGTGCTGCCATCTGCCTTTGTGACGACTTCAGGACAGCAGATGCAAGTTGGAGTTTGTGAAGTGGTCAGTGCGGACTACCCTACAGATTGCCCTCGTGCTGGGCAACTGGGTAATTCTTGTCCACATTTGCCTACACTTGCAATGTGTAAAGAGGCTTTCTGCTGCCACTTTTCTCACCATTGCACATTAAAACTAGATGCGAAGTTGAAGTGGGGATGTGTTTTTGCCCTATGGGTGTGTAAACACTACTGCATGCCATGTTCATAGATGCAGCTGCCACTGCCCATTCTTGGCGACATAATCACTTGATGGTGAAACCAACGGCGGTGTTATGCAGGGCCTGGTGCACCGTCTGCTAGGCAAACAGCACGAGCGCCAGAACCAACAGAGGGTGAGGGTGTCTTTGGATGACTTCTGCAGCACCTTTGTGGATGAAGCAAGGGGACTCCCGGACAGGGCTGCAGTTCTGCACGCTGCAAAGCACCTTGCAGCAGTGGAGCTGTCGACAGAGCCAGCTGTACGACAGGCACTGAGGAACGATTTCATACAGTATGCAGTGGTGACAACTACTCCCACTGAAGCTGGAGAGAGGGTGAGCTGTTGGCTATGAGGCACCGTGGGCTGGGCATCAGCCACTTGTGGGACAATCATCGTTGACTCCAGCTTTGACAGCTGACAAAACAATGCCCTGCTACCTCAAGAGGCTGTGCAAGGACTGCTGGCCGGGTGCCCATGGCTTATGCTTGCCGATTGCTGTGCAGATGACATTTATCCAGGCAACTTGGGTCCCCAATGGGACTGGGATTCTCAAAAGTTATATTGCTAATTTCAGCCAATCAGACGCAGGGGCAACAATGCACACAGTCGAGCTGCAGGTTTCAGTCAGTGAATGTTGCATTGCACAAAGTCATGGCTATGATCTGACAGGAACTGTCTTTGTGAACTCAGGCACCAACATCTCCACAATAACAAGAGACTGAACTGCTTTTGAGTAGCAATGCTGATGCATGGCCTCTGCTTGTGGAGGCCAGCATGGCTGCCATCTTGCTCGTTCACCATGTTGCATTTTTGTACCCTGGCTTTCAGCACTTCAGGCTACATGCCGAAGGGCTAGCACCATCCACAAGCATGTCTTGTGGTTGAGCTGATGGGTTGTGTGACGATTCCTTGCTTGGTTGTCCAGGTTTTGGATCCGTTCCATGTGTACGGCAGGGTGAAGCACCTGAAGAATAAACCGCTGCTGAGCTTTGATGACAGTGACTACTTCCTCAGGATCTTGTCAGCCACGAAGGAGCAGTTCTTGACATATACAATGGGGGTCCCCAATGATGTGTTCGAGGTATAAACAAGAGTACTTTCTCCATACGTTGGACAAACTGTGGCTTGTTAGCCAAATTGTATTTTCTACTCGTCACATGTTTTTTTTGGTAAGGTTTAGAAATATATGTCGAATATGATGTCACCAATTCCTGGCCACACAGTGGACAATCTACCATGCCCTGTGTTGCCAAAGCTGGAAGTGAAGCCTTGAGTACTCCCAGGCAACCGGACGTCTGCCACGCAGCACCATACTGCATGCATTGAATGCGCTGCCATCAATTTTGAGACATGAGTGTCTTCTCTCCTGTGCACACAGGCAAAGCCTGCACACTCCATTTGGCTGCTTGCCTTAACATACCATTTGCACGATTGTACTGGTTTCTATTGTATTGTGCCACCATCAAGCTGTCGACAGTGCATCCGCAGAAGTCATTGCAGCTGATGACTGTTGTGTGTCTCAAAACCCTGCCTTACGTTATCAATAGGAACACATCCTGCCAAAAATGATGTCTCACTTCATGGAAGGCGACACTGAAGCACTTGCACCTGGTTGGAATGAGTATCGCACAGCGATTCTACAAGACGTGGCACTGGTGCACCTCTTTCCTGCACTTGCACGAGAGCAAAAGTCCAAGGTAATGCAGACAGGCCAGACAGGAGATAAAATCGAAGGGGGTTTGGACTGCAGGAGTGCCCCATACTTTCGTGATCATTCTGTACATGGGGCAGTAGATAAGCAGCTAGACCAAAGCCTGCATCTGCCAATGCGGTTTTTTGTTGTTTCATGGAATAGTGCGCCACCACAGAAATGTGAGTATTGGCACTGTCCACTGTGTACTCAACATGCGCATGAGCGGTATGCAGGCATCTGCACATGCAAATGCCAGCTATAAGCTCTGTGCTCCCCACCTTTGAAGAATTAGGAAAAAGGCTTTACAGAGGAACAAGTGAGGACATCACACATGAGTTCTGTGCTGATTTGCTGGCTCAGAATTATCGGTTTGTCCACTTACCTTGCACACTCAGAGCGGTGACAGGCACCTTGTGCAGTACCAAAGTGTTGTTGCACGTTCTCCAACAATAGTCTTGAGCCTGAAGTGGATGGCTTGTGCCGTTCTGATTGGGGAATATCTTGCCTGAGTGTGTATTGATTGGGCCAAACTGATCAACAGCAGGAGCCCCAGCGAGATGTCAAAAAATGTTTGCTGGCCTTTGCACATTGCCACTGCCAACGAACAAATGCCTCGGAATTTTTTATTGCACAAGTGTCCAGTTCCAGCAGCAGATGGAAGATGAAGGGCATCGCAGTTCTTCTGCTCAAAGTTTTGCACTTTGCTGAAGTTATGTGTACTGTGGATGCAGCTTGCAGAAAGTGCAAGTGAGTATGTGAAACTCAAGTGCGATGAGGAACTCTGGCGCTATGCATCTATGGCACCATTCAGGGTAAGAGGCGATGGGTTTGTGCAAGACAGTAGCCTGGTCCTTCTGTCAGCAAGGCAAATGGCCTCCATCTGTTTGACGTCAAACGATTAGACAATATCAGACGTCAAATGTGGCTGTCCGATGAGTGACAGTGTGCGCAAACAGAGCAATGTGTTAGATTGGGGCATGACCAGTATTTTTTGGTCATGGTGTCTACCATTTGTGTTGTCCTCGTTATCTGTTTTTGCATCTCAGGATTTGTTGCCAAGAATGCAGTGCAATGCTGACCTTTTCACAGCCTTTGGGATTTGTGGTGCCCTTCATGTTGCCCTGTCATGCCTTGGGTTGTGGTCAATGGATGGTATTTGTGGTGGCAATGACAACAGTGGGCATGCACAAGAAAATACCTTTGAGCTCCTGAACCCCAATATTGTAGCCTCAACATGGCTTGGACAATCACAGTAAAGCAATGACAACACCAGGTTCTCATAAATGATGTACTGGTTGGGAATTGAAAAGGTTCTAACGTTGTACTTTACTCCACGCTCCAGGCGACAGAGGCAGGGGAGGACGGTGATGAGGAGATCGTCGAAGCAACGAATGTCTGTGCCTGTGTTTGGGGGCCTGGTGGTGCTGGTCCAGCGACAGTGCTGGTGATGCTGGATGCTCATGGACAGCTCAAGGACTTGCTGCAAGTGGCCCAGTTTAGTGGATTCATACCATACACCATGAGTGGCGAAAGTGGCGAAACTCTGAGTGTTTTTGACGACGAACGGAAGGTGGGAGAGCCAACTGCCTTTGGCACTATCTTCCATTGGAGCCTGCACAGCATGCAGCGATTTTCTTGGTCGTTGAAAGTAACCACCTGCTGTGCGCAGGACACAGGAGTTGTGCTCTTTCCACTGTGACATACCCGTGCTGCGACATACCAGTTCTGAAAAGTTTGAGAATTTCATGTGTCACATTTGAAGGCGACTTAGGGATGATATTTTTGTCTTAATGGCATCACTCACGCTCATCGTTTCTTTTGTCATGCCTGCAAATGACAGTCAAAAGATGCTGGCCGCATCCATGACTTTCTGATGGAGCACAAGCCACATGTGATCGCTGTGGGAGGAGCAAACCTGCACTGCCGGCAGTTGCTGGACGACTTGAAATCCATCAGAGACAACTTTTTGTCTGAGCACCCCCGGTTCATTATCAGCATTGCAGGGAACATGGAGGTCGTGTTTGCCCCAGAGAGGCTGGCACAGCTGTGGGAGAACAGTGAGTCTGCCAGGACAGAGCTTCGTGAACACCCAGGCATCGTTCGCAGGGCCGTGGCCCTTGGCAGAACACTGTTGGACCCCCTGGCTGTGCTGGCATGCCTGAGAGGTGGGCATCCTGGAGTGACTTCTTTTTGCAGCTGCGTCAATTGTGTGCATGTTTTTCATCACTTAGGATAGAGGGTTTGAAAGGTGCAAATGAAGAGAATGTGTTGAAAAAGTGGTGCAAACTGAACCGCCAATGTGTTGTATGTGAATGTTGCCATAGTGCAGTGTGGAAGATGCCATGTTGATGGTTTTGGATGTGTGGCCGTGTGGGAGAATTTCGTTGATTGTGGTTTAGCACATGGGAATTCCTGGGATGACTTTTGCAGTTTGTGGTGTGACCAGATCATGGTGACACCATCCTGTCCTTGCCACTGTATGACATGCAGAAATCCTTGAGTCGAGAAGAGCGGCTGTGGGGAATCGACCAGGTCATAATGACAGCAGTCAACCAGCTGGGTGTGAATCTGAATTTGATTGCAAACATTGGTTGGCAGTCCTCAACTCTCCAGTTCGTGTCAGGACTGGGCCCAAGGAAAGCCCAGGCAATCCTGAATGCCATTCAGCAGAATGGCAACAAAGTGGGGTCACGATGGGAGCTCATCAACGAGTTGGGAGTTTTGGACAAGAGGGTTGCCAAGTGAGTATGCGGTTGTCAAGCACCGATGGTTCCCCCCTGAATCTGAGCTTGTGAAAACATTGTAGAATATACTTCAGAGGAACCCATCCCATGGCTGGTAATTGTTGTATGAAAGCTGTTCATGATGGACGTTCACTGAAGAATAGCAAGACGTTTGAAACACACTGCACAATATTGGTCCTGCGTGTGGTGGAAGCTTGCTGGAATCGTTACATCAGTTGTTGGTGTTACCGCTGTTGTTCAGCTCTGCCAACAACTTTTCGCCCATTGCTTTTGGCCCCCTTGGCATGTGGAACAACTGTCACACTGCACAACACGTGTTCTTGGCAGGAACTGCACAGGATTTTTGAGGATCAATAGTGCTGGATTGCCATCTTTGGCAAGCTTGGACTGCGACCCCCTGGACGATTCCCGCATTCATCCAGAGCATTACAATCTGGCGAAGCGCATTGCTGTCAGTGCAGTTGGTGACAGCATTGATGAGGAGATGGCTGTTGGGCGGGCAGTGAATAACCCAGAGCTTGTGGAGCAGCTGGACCTGCAGGAATACAACAAATATTTGGTGGAGGAAGAGTGCAAAGACGACAGCCTTTCATTGCTGATTGACATCCAGGTGTGGATTAAAGTAGAGTTGAGTTGCAGTGCCCTGAACAAGAAACATATTGCACAAGATTCGGGACATTTGTGGAATGCAACTGTGTTCCAGAATGCTCCCATGACCACTGATTTCTCACCAACAGCCAACCTGCAAATGTGCGGACAGTGGTTCCAATTTGTTTGCTTGCAGTGCAGCACTTATTGACCTGCATGCCCGCTGAGGTCCCTTGATCGAATAGTGTCACCTGCACCTTACAATCATCTGCATGAAGTAGAGATTGTGATGCTTCAGTTTGCATTCTTGCTCTGAACATAATGATGGACTTGTATATTTCTTGGACTCCCTATCTTGTGCTTGTAGGCAGCTCCCCATGCAGGCAGTCAACTTAATGTATCCTTGGACAGGGCTGCTTGTACATATATGAAGATCGTAGAGTTTTGAGTTTCAACTGCTGTTGCGCAGATGGAGTTGATAGACCCCTTTCGTGACCGGCGCAAGGGGTATCAAATACCCAAGGAGCACGAGGTTTTCTTCATGCTGGCAAATGAATCGCCAGAGGAACTTAAGCCTGGGAAACTGCTGGAGGTGACTGTCCGTTACGTGGACAATGATGCTGTGTACTGCAACTTGGAGCAAAGCAGACTGGAGGCAGTGATAAACAGAGAAAATGTGAGCAGCAGTGAAGTTACTGATCACATGGACCTCAGGGCACGGTGCAAACCAAAAGATGTCATCACTGCAAGGTATGACACATGCACAGCGCGTGCTCTTGAGATGGTAACAATGCCTGCAACACACTTTTGGGGCTTTGCAACCAGTCGATTAATGCTGTATTGTAGGGTACAGCAGATTCGCATGCCCATCAACATGTTGCAGGCAGTGACTGAATGCGCTCCACACCCCAGTCTCATGCCCGGGATCGTTTTTGCCTGTAAATGACCTCATGCCCTGGCAGCAAGTGTTGTGAACTTGCTTATATCCTTGTTGCCTTGGTACTGCCCTTGCACCTGGTGGGCACTCATGGGCAGGAATGCATCCAAGAACGTCATGTCCCGCATACATTCATTTTGTCTGCTCACCACCTGTATGGTCAAACATTGGAACATGATTGATGTCACAAACCCAGGGAATTTGTTGATGCAAACTATGTTGGATTGTGCACTTACACAAAATCCAAATCTGGGTCCTGACTGTGATCTGTGACGAAATTGCAGTTGAGCAGCACTCACGTGACGCATTTTGACGTGCACTTTTGAGCATGGTAAGAGATATTTGTCCTTCAGGTTGCTGGCCATCAACTTCAAGGACTTCAGGGTGGAGCTGACGTGCCGTTCAGCAGACCTGCAAGATTATCAAGCTTGGGAGAGAGAGTATTGCATCGACAAATATTATGAGATAAAGAGTGAGGCAGATATCCTGTCAGAGAAAGCCCTAAAGGCCAAGTCCAAAAAGGCACAGGTGTGCTGCAGCTTCGAACCTGCCATTCTTGCTGGCTTCAATGTTTGTTTGTTGTGCCACTGAACGGTGTATCAACTGGCAACAATCTTGCACAACGTCCATCGTGTATCTCCCTATCTAGCGCACCAAGTTTATGTCCACATACTTCTTCTCTTGGGCCTAATTGGGATGCGTTGGATTGTGGACTGCTAAACAAGCATATATCCTTGGCTACTACACTTGTCAGAAGAATGGAAAACGCTGCCACCTGTCAGTCTTTGTCACCTATTGTGGTGAACGGCTGCCAGAGGGTTGAGAAGGCTGCTGAGTGCACACTGAATATTTTGCATCAATGGACTCCACAGAGTTTTGTCTCTCGCCCAATCAGCCACCCGCTGTTTAAAAATGTGTCCATCACGGAATGCATGCAAGAGCTCCGGGAACAAGAGGTGGGAGACTGCATGCTTCGGCCATGTAGCAGGGGCTTCAACTCCATCATGTTGAGTATGAAGACATTCCAGGGCAAGTATGGTGCCATCTATGAGCACAGAGAAATCATGGAGGGACCCAAGGGCACAGGCCAGGGCACTCACCTGCGCCTGGGCTTGCCCCTGACAATAATGGTTCCAGGAGGCAAGAAGCTGATTTTTGATGACCTGGATGAGGTGATCGCTCAGTATGTGGAAAAGTACGTGGCCAGAATTCGAGCAGTCACATCTCACAGGAAGTTCAGGGATGAGCACAAGTCAGAGATTGATGAGTATCTCAACGAGGAGAAATTGCGAAGTGGCTCGCGAATGGCTGTCTATGCCTTGGGGATCGAGTACCACAAGCCAGGATTCCTGTACATTGCTTGCATCTGGTCTGAAAGTGTGCACCATGAGCACTTTGCTGCGGTGCCAGATGGGTACTACTTCAGGAGCCAGGTGTACAGGTCTGTTGACAAGATGCTGGCAGACTTCAAGAAGAATCCAAACTATGTGAGTACCTGGGTTGGTTCCTGACTGGTGCGCACTTTCAGATAACTGCAGCTCCTGCACACAGGGACTTTGTGGCTCCTCTGTGACCCAGTCTTTTGTCATTAGGAAGATTGAATAGGGTTCCACTGTTGCGAAAAGAAGGATCGAAAACAGTGAACCTGCTTGCACTGCTATGCATCACCTCAGTTCAGGAACTGCTCTGTCCTTGAAGCAATGGATAGATCAAGCGGTGAGAAGCAATATGCTTCCACAAATGCTCTTTTTGTGGGTAGACTCTGCAAGTTGGATCATGCACTTTTGGGCTGTTTGTTTGGTGGTAAGTTGCTGAGTGGTATTGCTGCTGTGGCCTGTTGCTGCAGAAACCCAAGGTGGCAAACCTAAGGCAGCAGGAGCCAGAGATGTCAGTACAGACGTACTCACGAGCCACTTCTGTCCCACGAGCTGGGCTGCCTGCTCACAGTGGTGAGACACATGCGACGAGACGCACGTATGATGCACCTGCAACTCCGTCTTCAAGGCATTACAGTGGTTCCCAGTACAATCAGCGCAATTACAACAATGGGAATACCTACAGGGGTGGAGGGTATGGCACACCTGGCAGGTTTGAAGGCAATCGCTTTAGCCAAGACTCAAGGGGGAGAGGGCCCCCAAGGAGAGATGGCGGCAGCAGTACTGGTGGGTACCCCAGGGGCAACAGTTATGGTGGGGGATCAGGCGACTGGCACAGTGGAGGCTGGGGTGCATCGCAAAGCCAAAGGAGGTCAGATCGGATTGGCCAACCTTCCCCTGCACGGCCACCTTCAGGTCAGAACGGCCATTCTCAGTGGCGTGGTGGTGGATCGCAGCAGGCTGCCAGTGGGAGACCTCAGGTTGCGGATGACAGCTCAGACGATTCTGAGCCTCTGCGGTTCGGCAAGCCGCCACCAAAGTCAAGCAGTGCGCCAGACAGTGCAGCACCAGCTGCCGGTACGGGCTCGGCACATTTCCATCCTGCTGTGAGGACGAGTTCTGTGTCGTTTCCTGAACGGCCAGGCGGCAGCCAGGGTGGCCCGCTGCAAAGCTTCCCAGCACAGCCAGGCGTGGGGCTGGGGACCCCATCCTCTAGACGACCAGCTGCGAGCCAGAGTGCTGCTAACTCTGACTCGTCAGACTCTCCATACCATTTCTGATCAGCAATTGGAAAATGGAGGCTGGGAATCAGAACTCTAGTATTTTCTTGTTTTATTTTCGGGGAGGGGGAGTAGAGGAGTGGCCTCAGGAAACATGTATTTCACGTGAATTTTCTTTTAATGCGTTGTTGTTTTCTCCATGTTGTGGACCGTGAAGCGCTGTTCATGAGGTTACAGCAATGCACAAAGTACATTCAGGTCCAGGAGCAACGAAGCTGTATCGGGCACATTGTGGGCTGCAGAACGGCCCAAGCATTGTTTGTCCAGAATGCCCATATTCGCTTAGCCACACGGTGACCACCGTTTCACGACTGGTATGCATTTTTTTTGCTGCTTGAGATGAGCTGACAAAAGAACTCCTGCAGAAAAACATTGCTATGAAACACGCAAAGGTTAATCACGCCGGGATGTCTCTATTCCTGGTGCGGCATTGAGCTGGTAGCTTCCTAGCCTGTGCATACTCCTTTGCTTGAAGATGGGCAGTTTGTTACCAAAATGAAAAAGGATCTGTTTCATGAAAGTCTCTTGAAGCAATTTCTTGGATGGAATTCTGGAATCGTTTGACCTAATTTGGTTCTTGAGGTAGTTTTCGATCACCCTCATGTTTGTTGGGGACAGCATGAGCTTTATGAAAGAACCCCATGCAAATCAGGGAGAATGCCTTGTTCACGGTGTCTTGTCCACAAGGTGCAAAGGCGTCGTGTGGGGAAGTTTGGGATGTGTATTTCCCAATACTTTACATCACCATTGCGATCGCCCTCAATTTCACCTGGGCTTACAAGAAATTGTTGTACTTGCGTTTTGCGGTGGGGGCGTTTGGAAGTGACCATATGATTATGGCATGTTTCACACGTTGGCTGTACTTTAGTGATGAGGTGGTGTGTGGCTGAATTGTGGTATGGGCGTTTGTGATTGATAACAGTCCTTGGGGTTCGAATGGGTGGACGGGTGGGTGTGAAGGCATCAAGAAATCTGGTCGTGTTTAGTACCGCCGCCGGCAAGGAAAGATGTGTTTGGACTTCGAAATGGGCAAGTAAATATGTAAGCCCGAGTTGTGTAGGTGTGGCCTTGCGTGTGGCCGTGTGCCAACGTAGTTGAAGCGTCGGCGATCGTGGATTCGCGCTTCAAGTGGGCACTCAAAAGGAGCCGTTTGAATCACATCAACTGTCTTCTCTTCAACACCCAGCAATCCCGATCCAGCAGCATGGAAGGCATGAGTCCCCTTGTCAAACCAAGGAAGGCATACCCAAGAGAAACAACTCACGATCCATAGCCAGGCCCAGAAAAATCCTGAGCTACATGATGTACACGGCATACACCAGAAAGAGTCCAAAGTGTGCAAAGTAGACGCTTGTACAGGCCAGCCGCTACCAGCTGACAAGACTTTCGAGTGAGTTCACGCAATATTGCCCTTGTCTGTACCACGCCAACACATGGCGGACTCAGGTGCAGGAATATGATGCAATCACAGGACATTGGTCGGAAATCGTGTATAGGGCAGTAAGTTTCCCATGGACACGCAATGTGCTCTCGATGTTTGGACTCCACAGACTTCACTTTCAGTAGAAGAGCCGCACACTTGCACAATGGCGAGTGCAACAGACAAGAGCACCATTGAAATGTCCGGATGGTCTTGCAAGAATGGAAGTTCCATTGCGCCACAACAATATGGCTGATGTAGGGTGCCCTTGAATTAGATGTCAAGCTTCAATTCCCGCAGTGCTGGGAGCAGTCCTCCATGTGGCGTGAACATACGACTAAGAGTTCCCACGCAGAAGCTGTGTCCTGTTGCGACTGACACAGCATTCCGCGGCAGTCCCATTTGCAGCACGGCCACATCTCGTTTGCTCTTGCCGCCACGGCCAAAGGGAGTGCGCCATATGAAAAACAATTATGACGGTGAGGATCCTCACCATCGATTGGTCTTCACCATCAATTGATTCTCACCACCAATTGATCTACAATCGAAACAATCCGGAATGGTTCACTTGTTGTTCGCATGAAAGCGACTGCAGTGAGGAGATGGACTCATGGAGTACGCCTTCCATGTGTTCGACCTGTACCAGAGGGAATTCGTGGAGCTCGTATTATCATTGTCGCGCTGTCAGCTGCTCTTGTCCGCCGGCCTTTGCAACCACACCTGCTTGTTTAGAAGACCACGGTGATGGGTCGCGAGGGTGAGATCAGGCTATCTGAATGCGCTATCATCGTCGCTGGGTGTTTCCTGGACCCGAGCACGCGCAAAAGAAAGGCACACAGTTCTGCTAAGAAAAAGTAATGCTGCTTGCGGAATTCTCAGAGTTAGTGCTGCAGAAATTCGCCGAGTGCTGGCAGCAGGGGCGTGTGAATTCACAGATTCTCCTTGGCAGAAAATCGCCATGCGCGAATCAAAGATTCCCAGAAATAGGCTCTCTGAATTCATTTCAACTGTGAGATTATGCGACAATTTGTTCGCCAACTTCACAGAAATCCATCACATTAGGGAATGTGTATTTGGCGTCAGGTGAACCCTGGGCTCAGACGATCCCTCCCTGTTCCTTAGCGACAATCAATATTTCGATCTCATGATGACTCAGAGGCACTGCCTAATACATTGATATGCTTTCGAGATGGTCCTAAAAAAAAGAGAACTGTCAGAGTCGTGGCGATTGCAGGTTTAAAAATCAGGATGGTAAAAGCAACCGTAGACAATGGGAGCAGACCCAAAGGCTACGAGTTGATCCGTTTCGGGGATACCTTGAAGATTGATTGCTTGAGGAGATTTTGGAACAAGTCATGAGTCGTTTTCTGGTGATCTGCTGCATTGCTGTGCGTCGTCTTGTTGTGTTTTTATTTTATCGCAATGGCATAATCTGTTAGCGTCCATGGCCTGCAAGTGTGTCCCCCACCCCACCCCACCCCACCCCACCCCACCCCACCCCCTTGGCGCCAATTGGACGCCAAGGGCACTAAATTCAAACAGTGTCTTTCCTAAATCCATTGGCCTGGTTTTTGGACTGCGTACTTCAAATTCGTGGCTGCAACTGAAAAAAGGAACTCGCGTGGTGAGGATATAATGCACCAACATCACAGAAGACAAGTAGTTTCGGAAGAGAGGAGTACCAACAAAATGGAATGGCTGCGGAGATGCTGCTCGCTTGTTTCCGTGAACGATGGCGGGCTCCACTCTTTGAGCAAAATCGACGACCAAAACGGGATGTTGCAAATGTTTGTTAATCATGGGATGATTGCCCAACACATATGAGCGTGCGCAGATCCATCGTACGACGTGGGGGGTGGCATCGGGAGACATCGGCACACGTTTTCATGAGGCCGAGCTGAACCATGAGGTAACGTGCTCTAGATTTTAGAGATGGCTCAAGAATGGAATTTGAAAGTTGAGAAACACCACCAAGATATCTTGCATATCTGTGCGAGGACGTTTCCATCAGCTCCCTATTTCACCCAAGCAAAGCAGCATATTGATCTGTGACGTAAGACTTAAGGAACTGCGACATTGTCAATCCAACCACAGTTCTGTGCAACGCACAAATTCGCAAGTTCTGTATCATCAACCCGAGTTTACCAATTCCCTATCACCAACCCGAGTTTATCAATTGTTTCCAATATCCAAGCACGGGGACTCCCGCAATGCCATCAAACCCAATTTTGCAAACACAGCCACTGCGAGCCCATGCGTCATTCAATACGCACCAAGAAAGGATGCTCGCGCATTGACCAGATCGCACACACGTCGCCGCTGCGTCGGAACCTGCCCCCAGTTGTTGGTCAGCTGCTCCTTGCCAGCAAAGACGGCGAAGAGGCGACTCTGCGGACCCGCGCTGGGGAGCGTGAGCCGTTGCTGCGTTCGAAGCTTCACATATCGCCGCTGCTGCGGGAAAGTGGGTGCGCAGACATAACCAAGCAGCCCGTCTACACTGCGTGTCCTGGACCAGGAGCGTCTGTCCCGCGACCTAGCCGCAACCTTGTGGCTCCTCAAACTGGTTCAAGGCTGGTATTGACCAGTTTTTCAGGTACTGTTCTGGAGTTGAGCGTGTTGGTGCACAGCAGCCGTCGGTGCACAGGCAGACGACGGAGGTGCAACATAATGATAGCATACAACGATAGGGCTGGGAGGCTTTCCTTTTGCGAAGGTACAATTGAACTGATCGTGGACACTGCTTTGCCAGGGCAAAATAAGAAGCTGACGGCTACCTCCTTTTTTTTTGAAATCCGTTGCAATTACATTTGCCTGAATCATGGTAAAGCAAGCCCTGTCACCAACAACCAGCTTGCCTTGTGATGTAAAAATGGATGATGGTGATGATGATGGTGATGGTGATGATGATGTTGACGATGAAGGTACAATTGATGTCATAGGCAGGCATGCTTTTTATGACGTAAAAACTGATCGTATTTACTTTTTACGTGTAAAATATTTTTTACATTTTTATGCATAAAAATGCGTAAAAATACGTAAATACAACGTAAAAACTGCCAGGTGTACATAAGGACAGTACACACAGACTTACGGAGTCCTGAGAGTGGCAGCCAGACGCCTTGGAAGGGGCACAAAACGAGCTTTTGTTAAACGCCGTTATCGCCCTTGACAAGGGCGAGGTGGACATTGTGTTGCGGGTGCTGGTGATGGCGCAGGACTGATCATTGTATGCAACTTTCATTGTGTAACCTGGGTGTGCCAGGGAGCCGTAAAAACGTAAAAATAGCCGTAAAGATAGGCCCTTTTGCAAATTTACATTTTTACACGGTAAAACGTAAAGCCAAAATGTAAGCATAAACATAAAAACCAAGCCTGGTCATAGGCATTGAGCAGAAGGATAAGACATCTTGCCATCGAGATTCGCATATGGCACAGAGTTGGGACTGCAGTCGCCTGCCCTGAAATTCAGCGTTACACTATACGGTATAGTGTGTCAAGAACATCGTCGACTTATGCA